AACACCTTAACACTACTATATTGATAACACTTAAAATACTTTTTTTTTCTTTTTCTTATGTCATTTAAAGTACACGTGTACCAGTCCAAACATAACATGGTAACTGAGAAATAACTATCACTAATCCACGTGTCATCAATTATTGGACTTGTTAACCGGGGTTTACGCTCCTTGGTTAACCGGGGTGTACGATCATTGGTTAACCGGGGTGTACGCTCCTTGGTTAACCGGGGTGTACGTTCCTTGGTTAACCGGGGTGTACGCTCCTTGGTTAACCAACAATAAGACAGCGGTCTATATAAAACATGTTTTGAATTCAGTCCTCTATTTGATTCAGCAATATTGCCGATACTTTTTCCAGAGATATCTAAAACTATGTATACTCTGGTGTTATCTATATGTTTGTCTTCTATTTGATATACAAATGGCAGTGACTAGTAATTCGTCCATATTGTATCATAAATCTTAGTTATGATGAAATCTCTGAAGATTTTTATATAAGGTAGTAGTACAAAAGTACCGCTTTTGGGCCAGGCTCATTGAGTGCAGTCTCCTATATAATCCGGTAGTACCCCCCACCCCCCAGCACCCCCCTTTAGTAGGGGGTACCGATCGACGTTACAGAGGGTTCCGAATGGTGTGTAGCCAATAACCCTCTAGTGGCAACCCCCATTCTATATCGTCACGGGTTATATCGTCACCGGTTTCAACCGGATCGGTGATGTTCTCGAATCTTCTAATACAATAACAAGTAAAATACAAATACATGTACAACCATTTATTGTCTCTGTCAATAGAACAGACACGGGTCGGAGAGCCACCTGACGTCCATTCTTACAACGAATATCCACAGATAGCTCTCGCTGTTTGTTTATGTCCGACTCCGTTGTATAAAACCATACAGATTAGGTCATACACTTAATTGGTATGTTAACCGAACACTTTTCCACACATACAAAACTGAACTGTATGATAGCATTTCCAATAACGTATAGCCTACGTTCTTTATGCACAAGTCAACTCAAGGCACCACCCTGCAGCACCATCCTAACCGGGTGGTACTGTAATGATGACGTCACGGTTTTTTCCGCGTTTGATCTATATTTAGATTCTGCCGGTTTTCTAGAACCTTCCCGGATGCTAAAATAAAAACGAATAGACGGTTTTGTGATATATGAATAAATAAATCAAGACGATATTAATGCAAGTGTATTTAATTGTCTCTATCAATAGAACGGACGCGGATCAGAGACCCATCCCGTGCCCACCTGTACAGCAATATTAAGCCTAACATGGACAATATTTACAGGTATGGGATCGGGACGATCTGTATCAGGGTGTACGCCCTTTCCCCACAAAACGGGGTCTTGAAATGAGACCTTTCTAGAGTAGTTCACTCTCCTACAAATCAGTTACATCTGATCCATTTTACATAAAGACCCGGTAGAGTTGTATTTTGCTGATCACTCGCGACGCTGTGAATGAAGGTTAATTGGCTGTGGGAATTTCCAACAGGGAAACCCCCTTTTGTAATTTATACCATAGAGAACAGTTTCGCGCATGTATTCACGCTACCAAGTGTAACTCTCATAACTGTTTATGCTACAATAATATATTTATTCATATATCACAAA